ATTCCCCTTCATACCACTTCCATTCTACTGTTCCTCCTCCAAAATCCCTCCCTCTCACTTGGCCCCTGTCTAATTTCTTGACTTCTATACCTGTCCTACATATCTAAGGTTCAAAACTCAGATCCACATAGGAGAGAGAACGTGTGGTGTTTGTCTTCTGGGTCTGGATTACCTCACTCAGAATGATTATTTCCTGTTTCATTAATTTTCTTGCAAATTCATAATTTTATTTTTTCCTTATATCTCTATAAAATTCTAATGTGTGTGTGTGTGTGTGTGTGTGTGTGTGTGTGTGTGTGTGTGTGTGTGATGTGGTGTGGGGCGGGTGTCACTGTCCATTAGTTGATAGACATCTAGGCTGTTTCCATTTCCTGGCTATAATGAATAGAGCAGTGATGAACATTGCATTACCAACTTTTAAAAAGCCTAAATCTACTGACATTTACTCGGTACTAAAGCTATTTGGACTAAAGGTGAAGCTTCCTTTGTAGATAGATAACAAAGAAATTAAGGAAGTATTCAACTTCATCAAGAGTTACAGCATCACCAAAACTTAGCTATATCAGAAAAACATAATTAAGCTACCTGCTAATAAAGTTCATAAGGATCCAGGAATGACATTGTATCTAAAATGAAGTCATCTAGCTGAGGCAGATGCAAGTTACCTTCCGCTGGGCTCAGTACAGCATCACACTTTGCTCACTGAAAGTGCTTCTTTTAACTTTTCAACATCTTCAAATTGTTGTGACTTCTGTCTTATGAGTAGCTCTGTCTGAAGTCTGATCCTAAAGCTTTGCATCACAAAGGAGTGTATTAGGAATACAGAACCATGATCCTTTCTAGAGACTATGTGAAATCAAAAGGGTCTCATTTTCCCAAGAGCTCAAGAAGTTTGAATGCTCACTCATGTGTGAGAAGCATCAAGGTAAACAGCTCTCTCCTCCCACTTTTTGTTTTTGTTTGCTTGTTTCTGTTTTAAGACAGGGTCTTGCTGCATAACCCAGGATAACCTCTGACTCAGTCCTTCTGCCCTAGGCTCCCCAGTGCAAGGATTGCAATTGTAGCCCAGCATGCTGGGCTCTAGTCCTCTTTTTATATTATCTCGTATTTCTTCTTCTAGTGGAAGGGAGTAAGGTACTACAAATGAGTTGTATTTTGTTTGCTTTTATTTCATGTAAGCCTTTCTTCTCCATAAAGAAACTTACTGTAGTAATGTATTGTAAATCCCCCCAGCATGAAATGTTTCAGGCTCTGTCAGCATCTAAATTGCCCAATCCCTCAGCTATGATACTGTCCTGTTCCTACCTTTGGGGAGTTAATTAACCAACTGAAAAAGATCTCGATTATTTGTCAATAGAAGAAAGGGTGAGTTTGCAAACAAGGTGGCATTTTCAATGTCAGCACTATCCTCTAATGTCAGATACCTTACCAGGCATCCATTGTATGCCAACCACTGTTCACTGTTGAGAGCATCCTGGGACTCTGGACTAGCTGCCCATCTAGAGTCAAATGAAGTGAAGCTTGCAGGAACTGGAACATCTGAGATCAAATTCCTACATCTAGTTAGGTACCTTAGACAAGTTACTGAGCCACAGGGACGTTATAAAATGGGGTTAATAACCATGTCTTCCTTGCAAAGTGGTTGCAGGGATAAAGTAAAGGAATTCATATTAATTAGTGCTTACAGTTTCTGCCACATAATAAGCACTTAGCATAAGTTTTTTATAAGTAAGAGCAATGTAATTTGAGGGTCACTTAATAGAAATGTGTATGAAATTCTCTGGCAATCCCAGAGAAAGGAGGTCATCATGGGTTACAAACGGAGGTTATGAAAAGCTTGCTGCAAGATGTAGCCTTTGAAGTGAAGTTAGTGAAAACATACATTCCAAGCATAGGGCATTTAAAATACCCAAGCAGCTCTATGAAGCTTCTTATATAGTGTAGATGGGCCAGAATGCCAAAAGATAGAATTGAAAGAATGGCTCAGGGAGGCTAGCCAGGTCCATGTCATGAAGGGTCCTCTGTTTAATTCTGAAGCATGTGCACTTTGCTAAAGCAAGAGAGGGTCATTGGCAGTCTTTAAGCAAGATGACATGATACAGCTGGGTATTGTGGCTCATGCCTTGCACCCCAGCACTCAGGAGGCAGAGGTAGGTGGACCTCTGTGAGAATGAGGCCAGCCTGATCTACATAGTGAGCTCTAGGCCAGCCAGGTCTGCTGCCCCCACCCCCCCAAAATGACGGCATGATCGGCATGAACTGAGGAGTGAGAGAGAAGACAAGGAGGCCTTTAGACGTTCTCTGGTTTGTTCTCCTTGCCTCAGGCTCTGGAACACATCCTAATTCTAGCTATTTCTCATCTACATTGACTTGTACTCCAAATCAGTTTTCTGTTCCCTGTCCTGTACATCAATGGCCAGTCACTGAGTTCTTCCAGCTGAAAACTGGTCGTCCTATTTGAAGTCTTCCACCAGCTCCCCCGCCATCTTCTTCCTGTACCCTTCCCTCCATTTCCAGCCACCCTACGTTACGTCTTCTCCTCTGCTTCTGAAATTCTGAACCTGACCTTTCTTCTCCCTGAGGAGACCACATTCTACCCCATTACTGCAGTCCTGCTGGAACCCACATCCTCCTTGTCCATATCTCAGCCAGAAACACCTTATGCAGATCAGGGCTTCACCAGCCTCCTGCCTTGAGGTCAGTAACCACGTCTGTTCCTGGCTCATTACACTCTTCATCCAATGTTTCCAGTTTTCATTCACCTTCTCATTTCCATTGAAACATGATATTTCATTTTGACTTAACAAACCTACCTTTGGTGTGGAGACAGCTGGCTGTGTGTGCTAAACACCCGATTTTGTGTGGAACTGCAGGCCTTCTTTTGGAACATTAGCTTCCAACTTCATGCCGCCTCCCCCTTTGCAGTTAATATCAGCCTACTGGACAGGAACACGAGTGGCTTCCTCATGTGTGCTGGTGTCACTTGGTAGATAGCAAAGGTTGCAGGCTGCCCTCCAGAGCTGCCTCCAATCACACATCAAGTTGTTTTCCTATACCCTCAGGTGCAGCTTTTATATTTGGAAAGAGATTACAGAAACTGAAAAAATTCTGGTGTTTTTTTTTTTCTTATTGTTATAGATGACTGGTGTGGTGAAACCTATCTAGCTTGCTTTTGAATCTAAGCATGTATTCCTGTGTTGGACAACAATCTTTTTTAAAAGTACAATATAGTTCTATATATCCAGGGAATTGTCAATCTTGTTAGCTGGCCTGTCTGCTGTCTTACCAGTTCTCTGTTTAAGAAAACACACTGGAAATGTGCAAAGGGACTAGATAAATCATTTCAGGGAAGACAGCTCATGTAGGGTTAAAAAAAAAGTTTTAATTATGTGTATGTGTGTGCCTATGTGTGCCTATGTACACGTAAGTGCAAGCGACTACAATGCCAGAAAAGTGTGTTGGATCCCCTAGAACTGGAGTTACAGGTACTTATGAGCTGTCCAACCTGGGTGCTAGAAACTGAACTCAGGTCTTCTATAAGAGCAATGCACGCTCATAACTGCTGAGCCATCTCTTCAAACCCCTCACCTAGTTTTTAAAGGAACTCAAACTATCATTTTTTTGGTCTTCAGACAGGCTCTTCTTGTAGCCTCAGTTGACCTGAAACTCACTATGTAGACCAGGCTGGCCTTCATTTCAAAGAAATCTGCCTGCCTCTGCTTCCTGAGAGCTGGGATTAAAGGCATGCACCACCACACCCGACTCTATCAAATATTTTTATAGCTGTTTCAGAAATCTGTTTTATTAGTTAGATTTAATACTTCTTGAAATTTTTGTTTTAATTAACTAGAGAAAGTAATTCTCAGAGTTAATGTTGTAAGTACATAAAGGAGGAAAAAGATGTATGTAAAAATAGGAAAGGCCTGGTGTTCGTGCATTTTATTATATTTTCATGACAAAAATTAAAAGCCAGGTGCATACACATACTTCCCACAGTTGGGAGACAGAGACAAGAAGATTCCATGTTGAAGACCAGCTTACGCTGTAGGAGAAGCTCCTGTCTCAGAAAATAAGAAAAAAAAAATTTATGAAGTAATATAGTATATGATAAAATAGAGAAATTGCTCATTTAGGTTTTGCTTTTGAGGAGTCAGTGAGATGGTTCAGCAGTTAAGAGCACTTACTGCTCTTGCAGAGGACCCAGGTTCAGTTCCAGGATCCACTGGGTTGCTCACAACCACCTACAACTCCAGTTCTCTGGCCTCCATGAGCACCTGCACATATGAGGTGCATGTGCATATACTCAAAAAATAAAAATAATTAAGGAGTAATTTAACATGTACCTTTAATCCTAACGCTTGGGAGACAGAGGCAGGTGGATCTCTATTAGCTCAATGCCAGCCTGTTCCGTATATCAGGTTCCAGGCCAGTTAGGGCATATTAGACATTTTAAGATCACAATAATCCTTTCTATAGAGAGTTTTGTGAAAGAATGTTTAAGAAGTAGAACAGAGAAATGACAGTTCTAAATTTTTATTATGGGATGTGTGTGTGTGCGTGCACGCACGCAGTGGTGCTCATATAGAGCTCATGTGGAGGTCAGGAGACAACTCATGGGAGTTGGTTCTCTCCTACCACCATGGTGGATGCAGGGAGCAAACTTAGGTCTTCAGACTTGCTCACTGCCAACTCTCCTGCTGAGGCATTTCACAGGACCAAAGAAATTGAAGTTTTTCAGTTACTAAATGCATACATATATAGCTACAAAGACACCGTATTTTATTTTCTAAATTACTTAGAAATTGCCATTTAACTTCCATTGTATGATGTTTTGGCTTTACTGTTCTGTTTTAGTTTTTGTTGTGTTTAGATATACTGCCCTTGGGTATTTCTTAGTGAAGAAGTATTTCCACTTTAAATTGGAAAGATAATCTTGTATCCTCATCCAGGAGAAAATGAAATCATGATTCAGGAAGAAACACATTTTTTTTGTCTTTCAGACCTGAAGATTATCGGCTATAGAATGGAAATGCCAGAAGAACACAGCGAGGGATTCAAGCCTCTTCCTCAGGGGCTCCTCTGACCCAAGGACAGCTGTTCACTGTTAGACACTGTTCACTGTGGGACACTGTTCACTGCGGACGCTCGGGAAGTGCCAGGCCTCAGCAGGCAGTTGCAATAGAACATGCTACTTTATAAAGGTGTCTTATTATTGTGTAGCCTGATTTGAATGCTGTAGATGTTAATAAAATTGCTTACTTGGTGGTCTAGTCAATGTTTTATTTAATGAAGACATAGACCCTGGATATGACATTACAGTTGTCAGTAGCCAAAAAATGTCCATCCAATGTGTGACTTCTCACATTCCAGCTCACTGTTCTTAGACCTTCTGAACAAGACCTACCTTACACTGCCCATCGTATCTAACCTCCCATTCAGCAGAGCTCATCTCTCCAGCAGGACAGTAACATTTACTATATCTTTTTTTCTGTTTGACATTGGCAGTCCGTATTTTGTGGCCTTAGGCAATGCTAGAGGATATAGGAGGTGGAAGATTGACTTGAGGTGAGATCATTGATGGAACTTTTGTGACATGTTGGCCATTCTGGGTTTGGACTTTGAGGAGAAGTGACTAGCTTTGAGTCACCCATGCTCCTGCAAGTACTCATGGCTTCACTAAGCCAGGCATAGGTGGAATCGTTGCTTGGATCTGTTGGTGCCCTGTTGGTCAAATCAGTGCTGTAGAAGCCTCACCATAGGTGTGGCTCTTTTTCAGGGATTAAATTTGCAGTTCCTCTGTTGGCCAAGCACCACATTTTGTGCACATAGAGGCCAATGTTTTATGTCCCATGGTGCTAGGAAGGAAGGCTCATACTTAGATCTGATAAAGATGAGGCCGAGTTGTCCAATTTTTAAAATTTTTTATCCTCTGCATCTGACATAACATTTACAAGAACATATGACAGGAGTATTTCACCTGGGTAAGCAGTCATAACAGGAGCATGGTTTCTGAGATGACATAATAGTCTCATCTGTAGTTTCATGTGAAACCAGGGTCAGCATTATTTCAGTCACGTAGGAAAATATACCAAGGCAAATGACAGATATCTCAGATAAGTTTTAAAAGATTAAAAGGATTTAATCAATATAAGAGTGCAAATTGGTCAGAATGTCAAGATTGGGCCTCAGTTCCCTGGGGTCCTCAGTTGCTGACGTGGTTGAAGGTTGAGTGTCACCCAGTTCTCAGGTCTACATGGATGTGTCCTCAGAATGAGCTCGAGACTGCATTTGAAGTTTCTAGCATGGGAGGGGTTAGAAGCACCTAGTAAGTCCTTTCCATCCAGGCTGAAGGGGGTCTTTGATGTGTCTTTTCCAGTTGATGAAATCGCTTGAATTTTTTTAGCTCTTATTCATTTAGTTCATCACCTAGGACCACACTGTGAAAGACTAGCCAGTTCTGAATTATTTTATTGTTTTTATAAGTCTCATAATAATGTCTGGTGCTTTTCCTTAGTAGAAATAGCTCATACAATTCTTTACCTACCAGTTATCTTGAAAGGTGATAATTGATTTTTTCCCCCAAATGAGATAGATCTTAGAATTAATGAGATATATTTGGATAAGAAAGCCAAAGGCTTTATTTAGTCAGCTTTGACAGTTAACTTTTTTCTAGTTCCATTTATTTCTTAATCTCATTTCAGGGGATTAACAGTCATAGGCATAATGAAAGTTATTCACAAAGGTCAAAATTTATAAATAGATGTAAATATTTGTCCACTAAAATGAGTTTTGCAATTACTATGTAATTTATCAAAAAATCCCAAGTAGAAAGTAGGAATAATTCTAATAGAAATGTTTCTGTTAAGGCAGTGACTTCCTAATACAACAGAAAGAAAACAACATTAAAGTATTTTTATATCTACGGAAGAAGCATTTGGATAAAATCTAACGACCAGGTTTTAAGTGGCTCATTCCTTAAAATGAATTTGTTGTCTAAACCGTTTTTTTGTAATTGTACAACTTTATTGTAAGTAGAATATTAAATTTTAGTTTTATATCAATGTATTTTATTTTCACCTAATTGTTAATAACCTTTAATTATAGCAAACCTAATCATACATATTATTACCAAGTTTTATCTCTTGAAAATTTTTTTTTTTTTTATTTTGCATCATGGTCTTGTGTCCCAGGCTGGTCTCAAACTATGTCATGGACGACCTCGAACTTCCAATCCTCCTGCCTCTAGCTCCTGAGTGTTTATTCAGTTACTATCTAATTTCTTCCATTACATGGCTTTCTGTTTACTTTTCCAAACTCAATCTGGTATGTCAATATAACAATATAATGTTCCTTTAAATTTTCTTTAACAAGATTGTCTTTTTTTAATGCACCAAATATTAATAACAGAAACCAGAAATCAGATCTATTAGAAATCAGAATTTTATAAACCTTGTAGGCATAACTGAATTTTGTTCCTTATCCTAATGGTTAGAAATGCAATTGGAACCCGAGTCACTGTAGCATTGTCTGTCTCCTTTTTATTAGCAAAATGCAAATTGCATTTAATTTTTTAACCTGAGTTAATTATACTATAGGATATCTTAAATACTCATTTATAGTCAAGAAACATCAGTGTTTAAGCTATAAAACATCATGCATGCTATTAGAGATTGGTGTCTTCTGTAATTTGGGTAAGAAAAGTTAGCCCAAACCTTGTGGTATCTCTAGCTTGAATAAACGAACTTCCTTTTGTTGTACCTCATCCACTGGACCCCAAAAAGACCACTGAGGATCCAACACACCAAAATGCAAAAGCAAAGGTTTATGGTTTATTCGGGCTTAAGCTCGGGCTCTCAGACCTCACCAACTCAATGGATCCATGCTGAGAGCCCAGAGTAAGGGAGAGTGGAGCCTTTTATAGGTTTTAGATGAAGAGAGGAGGGGGATACTGAAGACACGTTTTGGTTGGTTCAAGAAGCTCACATGCACCAACGTAATTTTAAACTGATGGGATGTATAAGATGCAGTCCTGGAATTTTCTTATTGGTAGGTGCTATTCTCAGGGCTTTGGAATGTGCTGACTGTTATCTGTGGGGCCAGGAGTCTCCGTTTTTACCTTATAGGGCAGTTTTTATGCCTGGGCTTGCTTAATCTATAGTTTCCTGGAAGGGGGGGGAATAGCAGGAGGGGGTCAGGGCATGCCAGGGCATGTCTAGGCATGTCTAAATAGGATTGTCTAAAGCAGCAGCCAAGCATTTTACAGAAGCTAAAAGAGCAATTAATGGGGGTCTGGAGTAGCAGGTGAATGAAGAGGGTCTCAGGGTCCTACACTTTAAGTTTGTCAAACATCTGAGCATACTATAGACCCTTTCAGAGCATTTAATTTATTCTTTTAACATTTTTAATACCATTAAATTTGTTGGAGGGGAGGGAGTGGGCATGGATTTGATCAAAACAACTTTATATGCATGTATGAAATTCTCAAAAGTTTTTGTAAAAATTGAAATTTTTTTTTGTTTGGCTATAAGAATATGGATTTAGCTGGGCATGGTAGCACATGCCTTTAATCTTAGCACTCAGTAGGCAGAGGCAGGTGGATCTCTGTATTTGATCAAGGCCAGCCTGGTCTACATAGTTCCAGGCCAGCTGAGGCTACACAAAGACCCTGTCTCAAAAAAACAAAAAGAAGTACCATGCACAAATTGAAGTTCCCAGGTTCCTCTAGTAGTTCCTGCCCTTCATTATTGAGTCCTTCCAAGCCAGATCCAGTGTTCTAGTTTGTTTCTCCATTGCTGTGACAAAATACTCTGAGCAATACTAACTTAAGGAGGAGTTTTTTCAGTTTATATCTACTGGGTCATAGTTCATCAAGGAACCCAAAGTAGGAACTCAGAGCAGGAACCTGGAGGCAGGAGCTGGAGTACAGGCCATGGAGGAATGCTGGTTACCAACTTGCTCCGCTGGCCCTCACTCAGCCTGCTTTCTTATACGGCCCAACTGCCCAGGGGTTGCACCACCCACAGTGGGCTTGGCACGCCCAAATCACTCAGTAATCAAGAAGATGCCCCACAATGGAGACAATTCCCCAATTGCGGTTCCCTCACACTATTAAAGCACAGCCTTTCCATTTCTTGTCCCCAAGATATGTTAACATTAATATCACAACATAAGACAGTACAACCTTAAAAGCCCCTCAGTTCTTTTAAAAATCCAAACACTTAAAAGTTCACAATCTCTTAAAAGTCTCTTAATTGTGGGCTCCTGTAAAATCCAAAACAAGTACTGTCTTATTTCAAAGGGAAGACCTAACTTTTTCTTAGGAACACCTAAGCAAAACCTAACTCCAGCAATGTAGCTGGGATTCACTCACAATCTTCTGGGCTCCAAAGGGTTCTGACTCCACTTCTCTGACTCTGCCCGCCACAGCACACATATAGCTCATCTTGCAGATGCAGGCCGGCTCCATTCCACACCTGCTGCTGCCCTTGGTGGTCATCCCATGGTCTTGGCATCTCCAAAAAGTTGGAGTCTCCACTGCAACAGGCTGCACCCTCGCCAATGGCCTCTTCTGTCTTCTCGGGGTGCAACACTTCAGATTCTCTTCATGACTTCTTCAGTCCTGGGGTCTTCATTGCAAATGAAGTTGCATTTTCACCACTAGCTTTTCCTGGCCTCTCAGGGTGCCAAGCCTCAGCTGCTCTCTGTGACCCCTTCACACTTTCAACACCAGAACCACACAGGAGACTCTTACATATTACCAAGGCCTGCTTTCAGCTTGAGGTGGAGGCTCGAACTCCCTCTGGATCAGTTTCTGTGCTGACCCTGAGTAAATACCTCCCAGAAGATTTTACCACAGCGATGCTGGTCTCTTGTTACAGATGATTTTTCAGACCCAGCTAATCAGCATCAATTGTCCCAGTAAAGCAAGGGTTTTACTTCAGGTTCTGGTCTCTTCTTAATCACAGCTGATTCTTCGGCCCCAGCCAACCAGAAGGCAAATTCTTAATTCAAAATATCACACAAACAGCCCTGGTAGTCTCTGTTTCCCTTTGAAGCTTCACAAGCCAGGCCTCCATTATCTACAACTCTTTCAGCATAGCTATTCCAAGCTCCACAGCAACACGCAAATGGCTTTTCCAGCCCAAAGTTCCAAACACTTCAATCCTCCCCAAAACACCAAGGTCAGGTCTGTCACAACAATACCCCACTCTCTGGTACTAATTTCTGTTCTAGTTTGTTTCTCCATTGCTGTGACAGAATACGCTGACCA